TAATCCATACATATGCGCCAGCCCGTGACTGTTCTAGTAGTGAGGAGCTCCTCATGTTCGCTTTTAACCACAGTCACACCACACTTCTTTGGAACACACTGCACCGGGCTAACCCATGAACTGTCGGATATAGACTAAATCACTCCCGTATTCAGCCATTTTATAATTTCCTTCATGACTACCTTCTTTATGATCAGGTTGAGCCTTCTTTGGGGTTTTACCGAAGTACTATGGCTATCTTCTAGATTGATCTTGTGCATGCATATGGTAGGGCTAATTCCCTTTAAGTCTGCCATTGTCTATCCGAGAGCCTTTTTGTGCTGTGACAAAACTTTCAACAAACTATATTCTCCTGTTCGGAGGTTAGATTAGTAGAGATTACTACTAGTAAAGTTTCATTACTTCCTAGGTATGCATACTTCAAATAAGATGGAAAAGTTTTAAGTTCCAATTTGGGTGCATGTTGTAAAGATGATTCTATAGAATTAACTTCGTCAAAATCTAAGGGTTCGAATTTCGTACCTGATCTATTATGAAGGAGAATTGATTATTCCTTTGACTTTCCTTCGTGTTTTGCCTTGGTTTCGTTTTCAGGGAACCCATTGTGTGCTTTATTCAGATTACTATTATCAGGGCCATAACTCTCAGAATTGTCTGTTGAAAATAATTCGTCTGGGCCAAGATTTTCTTGTTCGTGTATCACGGTTATAGGGTCATGGCACAAAGTGTTGTATTCGTCTAGCCTTAGAGGTTCATCGTGGCCTAGAATTGTCTTTTCTTCCTCTTCTATTGAATTCATTTCTCTAATGCATTGGCATTCTTCAGAGTCGTCCACATATTTCATGGAGTTGAATACATTGATTGTGACGCTTTGCTCTCCTACCCTCATTGTGAATTCTCCCATTTTGCAATCTATTAGAATTCTTCCAGTGGATAAAAAGGGTCGTCCCATGATGATATGTGCATTTTCATCGACTTAGCAGTCTAAGATGAGGAAATCAACTGGAAATACGAATTTGTCCACCTTTATTATGACATCTTCTATTCTGCCCTCAGACCGCACATAAGACCGTACATAAGACCGATCGGCCAGCTATAGGATAATTTTGGTTGGACAAGCGTGATACCCCTCTCTAGTTTCATAAATATAGACTTTGGTATCAAGTTTACACTCGATCCCAAATCAACAAGAGCTCGTCCTATAAAGTTATTACCAATTGAACATAGTATTATAAAATTGCCAAGGTGTTTTTGTTTTGGTGGGAGTTTGCTTACTACATAAAAGATTTTTGTTGTCGTGTTAACATGTTCTACCTTCCTCTTATTTGTAGTAATGTCTTTAAGAAACATGGCATAGGAAGGCATTTTCTCCATGGCTTCAAGTAAGGGCACGTTAATATATAATTGGTCCAGAATATCAACAAATTTCTTGAACTGGATGTCATCACTCTGTTTCTTCAATCGTTGAGGGAACGGTGGTGGAGGTCTCACATTATCTGCTATTGGTGCTGAGGAATTTCTGGCCTTGGCCATGAATTTCCCGTTAACTGGATGATGTTTTTCTGAGCCTTCATCATCTTCCTTCTCTTAGGGCAATTCATCATGTTTCTCATTTTCATCTCAATCCTCTGGTTGTGTTATGCCATGGAGAGGATTGTTTAGCTGTTCTCCCCCAAACTTGTCATTTTGGTTAACCTGTGTTCCACTCCTTAGTGTAAGAACATTGCATTGCTCCTTTCCATGATGCTTAGTGATTTCAGTATCACTAGGGAGATTTCCTTGTGGGTGAGAATGTAATGTCGTAGCAATTTGGCCCACTTGATTCTCCAATACTCTTAGAGATGAACTATGGCTTTGGAAAAGCATAGCTTAGATTTGTAACAAATTTCCTTGTTTTTTTATTGTTGCAGAATGCTCATGCATCAAGGATTTTGTTGAAGCCATGAAATCTTTTGTTGAGGCCATAAATTCATGCAACGACACTTCTAAGGATTTAGTATTGGAATTAGAATTAGAGAAAGAAGTTATAACTTTAGTATTTTACAATGACAACTAATGATGTTGATTCTGAAAATGTTGATGGTCTGAGTTACTTTGTTGTGGCCTATTGTAACTTACTGCTTGATTGTTATTGTTACCTTGATTACTCCATGAAAAATTTGGATGTTGTCACCAACCAGGATTGTACATGTTTGAATATGGGTTATTATTGCTTCGGTTGTAATTGCCCACAAAATTGGTGGACTCATGGTTTTTTGAACATTCACTCTCATGACGGTTGCCATGATAAACTATGCATGTGTTATTGGTCACCTTGACTTCTCTTACCTCATTAGGACGCTGCAAATTTATCAACATATTAGTTATGGCATGAAGTTGAGCATATACCGAATCTTTACCCTCTAATTCATATGCTCCAAATGTTTTTCTGTCGGATCCCAATCTTGTATTTGGGAATTGATAGTCATTATTTGCTATCCTGACGAGGATATCAAAGGTTTCCTCGGGTGATTTGTCAAGTAAGGTGCCATTTACTGAGGCATCCAACATCATTCGAGTAGGTGCATTAACTCCGTTGTAAAACATCACTACTTGAGTCCAGTCATGAAACCCATGGCTGACACATTTGCGAAGTAGACTTTTATACCTATCCCAACATTCGTACATTGATTCATCATCTCCTTAGCGAAAACTTGCAATATCATTGTGAAGCTGTGTATTCATATTGGGAGGATTGTATCGAAGTAGGAAACTCTTGCATAAATTTTTCCATGATTCCATTGAGCCTGAAGAAACTCCACTGAGTCAAGCTCTCGCTCTATCGCGTAGGGAATAAGGTAAAAGTTTTAGTTTAAGCACATCTTCATGCACTCCTTGTTGTCGGAATGAATTGCACACTTCAAGGAAGGCATGAATATGTTGTCTAGCATCCTCATTAAATGCACCACCAAATTGACCGATAGAATTTACCATATTAAAATCACCGGTTTAAGTTGAAAATGAGTTGCTTGTATTTCAGGTGCCATGATGCCTGGATTGAGGTCATCAAGAATTGGATTCAAATGATATCGTATTGCTCTTGGTCTTGCAACTTGAAGATTAATTTCTATATCGGGATCTTCGTGATCTCCCATGTTGTTTCCTTGTGATTGTAGTTGATTTAGATATTCTCTGGTTCGTTGGTCACGTCGCCTCTGTCTGAACGACTGTTCAACTTCAGTGTCGAATGGTTCTAATGGTTTACCAGCAGATCTCAAGGTCATGCAATAATAAAAAACCTACAAAAGTAAATAATAAAATATATTAGAATAAGTAGATATAAGGTGACAAGAAAAGCTTGTTATAGCAAAAAATAAAAATTTCGTCAGTTGCCAATCCCCGGCAACGACGCCAAAAACTTGATCGCTTGTAAATGTATATGCTAAGGCAAGCAATTCTATGTAAGTGTACACAATCGAATCAAGTAATATAGGGTAAGTGAGTTATCTTCTCCTCAGGGATTGGTCGAAAGTTTTTAAGCTTCACCACAACCAGAACTAGTTGTCACAAGCTAATTCCTACTATCTTGTCAAACTAGAAAACTATTATTAATAAAACAAGAAAATACTGTAAAGGTATGATTACAGAAAAGTTTGGTCGAGAAAAAATAAATATGCAGACTATTGAAACAAAACAAAACAAAGACAAACGTTGATTTAATTATAATTCAAACAACCTCATATATTCAAACTTATCACAGAGCTTTTATGCTAATCTTTTGTGTTAACAAACAATTATTCTAAGTCTAGAATGAATTATTATGACATGCTTAAGCTTCCCGACAGGATTATTAAGTATTCTTAGACGGTTGCTACGGTAATACTACTCAATGTTACTTACAACCCTTAGTTTTTCAGACTATTGTCATAGCAATACCTCTCAGCGTGAACTATAGTCGTTGTCTATCCTACTCTAGCGTCTATCCCTTTTAGTCGATTAAAACCCTCTCCTTATCTTTAAGGTAGACAAGTTAGAACATCACCATCTCGGATCCATTCCATTGTTCACATAGATTTGTTTTAATTCTCTCAAATCTAAGAATCAATATCTAGACAAAAGGCAATCTTTCAAAGCTCTTACATTGCCAAGACATGTTTCACCAAGACCCCAGTCAAGCTATTGAGGCTCTTACAGTGTCAAGGTAAAATATTCAAACAATGAACAAAATAACCATGAGCAAAATCATAATTCATCATTCATAAAGCAGAAAATTATTCTCTAGGCAAAACAAAGATTAACACCAAGTAACACAATCATGGTGCTATCAAAATGTCATCCAAGTAAAGCTCTCTCACACTTTCAGTAAAACTCTAACTTCCTTGCCTCCTTTCTTTGGTGGCTACGACTGGATATTTATAGAGGGGAATCTCCTAGGGTTTCGCATAAGTGGAGATTCCTTAAATACCTGTTATTGTCTTGTCCATACTAAAAAGGAAATACGGCTGTCATAATTTTAAGGGTTTGCTTATACGTGAACGAAGTCGTACAATTGGCTTGTGACATAGGCAATTTCGTCATATCTGCTTCAAACTTTCCATATAAACCTTGCCTTGGCGAGATAAATATGCTCCTCACGCTCTTTAACTTCTATATTCCATTGGCCCCTTACATTTTCATGACTGAAATGTTCTTCCTCCGTAAATTTCCTGGACATACACAATCCACACAAACCCTTTCTCCTCAGCAGCATCAGTTAAACCAAATAAATCTTGTTAAAGCAAAACTTATCCACCACAAGCAAATATAACCTAAATGCAACTAAAATGTTGTGCATACTTTGTTTAGACGAGAAATAACTTAAGTGAAAAGACTAGAAATTGAGTCTTTTTCAGGAGTTATCAATATCATATGCTCCATTATATGTCTTATCCAGCAAAGTCACATTTGTTGAAGCATCCACCACCATATGAGTGTGTATGTTCAACCCATTATAAAACATCTCCATTTAAGTCCAATGTAGGAATCCATGCATAGGACACTTCCATAGTAAATCTTTAAATCTTTCCAACACTTCATACAAACTTTCATCTTTCAACTACTTGAATGAAGCTAAATCATTTTGAAGCTTAGAATTCATGTTTATTGGATTGAACCGCAACAGGAATTTCTTCGCTAATTCATTTTAGGATGCTATAGAACCTGGTGGAAATGAACTTAACCAAACTCGTTCTTTATCACGCAACGAATAAAAAAATAACTTCGGCTTTATTGCCTCCTTCTTAACATCTTGTTGAATAAAAGAATCACATACCTTCATAAACGCTCTTAAATGAGCCCTAGGATCTTCAGTAACATATCTTCCATATTATCCCATAGATTGTAACATTTGGAATATAACTGGCTTTAATTCGAAATTTATAGTATTAATAAATGGCCTTACAATGCCTGGATGTAAATCATCTAAGCTCGACTCCACATGCTCACAAATAAGGTGATTACGATCATCCAAATTCTAATATGGTTACCCAGCTCCAATACCAGCTGACAGCTCATCATTTTCTCTATTATGTAGCGGGGGTAGAATATCATTCCCTCATCTAACCATAGTAGCTTCACAACAATGTCTCCTAAATGTTCTTTCAATCTCTGGGTCAAACGGCTCTAAGTCGTCATTGCTTCTGGGCATACACTAGAAAAAATAGAAATAAGAATACCTATAATAGAAAACAAACAAGTAAGAAAAATTAAAAGAACTCTAAATCAAACCGATGCTCCCCAAAAACAACACAAAAAACTTGATGTTATGTAAGACGCTATAGCATTTAATGCAAGTATACGTATCACTCAAGTAATAAAGTCATAGCATTTGATGCTACGCATGTCGAATCCATAGAGAGAAAAGTGTTATCATTATAGTTTGCAAGAATATGATTTATCAAATATACGAGATGCTAAAGAGAAGATGTTAAATCAATAAAGGAAAACAACATCTCATGCCATAGTATTCCAGGAAGCAAGTGGTCAGCTATCAAATCGATGGATGCAATATTATGAACTTCAAATCTCATGCAAATATCCAATACTCAATTTATAAGATCAGTATTTATTAAAACCTCTTTAACTAATTTAAAAACTTTCGTATCTTAAAGGCTTGAGACATTAACAAAATTAATCAATTGATGCATATTTTTTAGTATACACTATGCTACTAAGAAATACCAATGCTCACAAAAGTATGTAGAAAATCGAATAAAACTATTTCTAGATTTAATCAAAAATATTATATATTTAATTATGAGTACTTCTACCCACAATCATAAAGAACTAAACTCATAAAATGAGTATCAAAGCAAACACAAAAAATAAAAATTGAAATATCATCCAACAAAGGTTTAAGCATTCAAATCACACCCTCTTTTAATAGAAGGCCTTAAATAAAGATCCACTGACTGTTGAAGCTACCCAACAAGATTCCCTTGTGCTACAGCAGTCCCTGGGAGAGGACTTAGGCTTCTATACGTTGAAGATTTAACGTGGAGAATTGGGTACTTGAAAATGCTCTTGAACGGCACACTTTTTGTGCTCAAGTACTCCCCTTTTATAGCTTGGATGGAAATTTCATCTCCCAATAGAAAATGTCTACGTTTCAGGTGATATACAACCAAATGACAGCTTCCCGAGCTAGTTGTCCCGATCTAGAAGGTTCTCTCAATCGTCTGGAGCTTAGATGATTGTTGCAGCATCCGATCAACATTTTCTGCAATGTTATGGCATCATTGTAATAGTTTTCAACAAAAAAAAATTGATTTTATCCTTTATCCACCCACAATGCTCTTATAATGCATAATGTATAGAACCAAGTAATTTTAATCCTAAAATGCTCCTAAGTGTACTTAAGTTCAAGCTAAACCTAGGTGAAAAGGCTACTATATATAACTCTTTTAAAAAGTTATCAACGACGTTTTTCAAGGACCTCACCTCCATGTTTAGACATATAGCTAGGTCCCACCCTAGTTCTTCAACTGCACCACCTCCTCCTCCAGTACCCCTAGCATAGCTAGTAGCCATACTCCATGAGCCTCCAGTAAAGCGACTCCACAGATACAAGAAAATTGAGTTCTTCGGTATTGAGGCTGATGATCCTATAGCATGTGACCAGTGACTCAGAGATACACTCTGCACCCTTCGACAGTTGCATCATACCCCATAGGGTAATCCTGATTATGCTACCAACCTGCTCAAGGGTGACACCATAGATTGGTGGGAAATGATCGAATCGGCTATGAAGCCAGAGACACCGACATGGGAGCATTTCCTCTCGGAGTTCAGACAGAAGTACATCTGGCAGACTCGAACCGATGACTTAATGGAGTAGTTCATACACCTAACTCAGAGTGACCTCTTAATGATGGAGTACAAGTGATAGCTCCTCAGGCTCATTAAGTATGCTGCAAAATTGATCCTGACATAGGAGCATCATTGTTATTGATTTAGAGAAGGCCTTTGCGGTGATATTTTATCACATCTTGCAGTCGACCCCCTAGCTGGTTTTCGCAACTAACCCACCAGGTAAAGACAGTTGAGAGATCTTTAGATAGGCAAGCTAGGTAGTCCAGCAATACTTCAAGACATATCAGGAGAGCCTGTGAGATAGCGAGGCCATCTCAGACCCCGACCAAGACGACCAAAGATAGTCTATATTTGTCGAGACCCCCAACAGTATAGTCGAGGAAGACTGGGTAGAGTTTTGCTAGAGGAGGTAGATACAAGACCCAGATAAGACTTTTACCACTTGATTTAGAAGTTTGTACCGCATCTCGCCTGGAGATTTTACTCATCCTATTTGTGCACAATATGGGAATAGACATGTGGGTACATGTCAACAGAGTTTAGAGGTTACTACAATTACGACTCTTTGGGTCACTTTGCTCGTGATTGTTTGGTAGTTCAGAGAGTGACTCTGGCTCGTACTCAAAGGTACGCACATTCAGTATAGGGGTTACCAAAGAGCCAGAGTCGATCTCTCAACTCTTAGATAATCTCAGGTAAAGTGACGCAAAGAGTCGCAACTGTAGCAACTCAAAACCCTGTTGACAAGTCCCCACATGTCTCTTCCCATATTGTGAACAAATAGGATGAGTGAAACCTTTAGGGGAGACATGGGTACCAATTCCTGAATCAAGCGTTAAAGGTCTCGTCCAGGTCTCATATCTACCCTCTCTATCTGAACTCTGTCCAGTCCTCATCAACTATGCCGCTGGGGGTCTCAAGGAACACATACTCTCTCTGACCCTCTTTTTTGGAGTCTGAGATAGCCTCGTTGGCTCAAGGGCTTTCCTGATCTTCCCTGAAGTATTGTTGGACTGCCTAGCCTACCTATCTAAAGCTCTCTCAATTGTCTTCACTTGTGGGTCAGTTGAGATAAGACTCTAGGAGGGTCAGTTGTAAGATGCGATAAAATATCACCGCAAAAGCCTTCTCTGAACCTGTAATAGTGATGCTCCTCTGTCAAGATCAATTATGTAGCATACTTACTGAGCTTGAGGAACTCCCGCTCATACTTCATCACTAAGAAGTCACCCTAAGTCAGGTGTAGGAATTGTTCATTCAAGTCATCGGTGTGAGTCTGCCAGATGTACTTCTGTCTAAACTCTAAGAGGAATTGCTCCCATGTCAGCCTCTCTGGCTCCATAGTCACCTCGATCGTCTTCCACCAATCTATGGTGTCACTCTTGAGCAGGGTCGTGGCATAATCAAGATTACCCAATGGGGTATGATGCAACTGTCAGATGGTGCGGATCATATCTCTGAGCCACTGGTCGCATGCTATAGGATCATCATCCTCAATACCGAAGAACTCGGTGGTCTTGTATCTATAGAGTTGCTTTTGTAACACCCATATCTTGTATACCTTTTCGTACACAAAATACAGATGTCACGTCGCTTTTAAAATATTTCCTCTTTTAAAAACTCTTAAAATTTTGTTTCTAATTTTTCTTAAAACATAACATTTTTAATATAAAGCAAAAAAATTAATTGAAATATGATAAGAGGTTCTACTTAAATACAATTCAGAGCATTTTTCATACTATAATTACATGCCAACTATTTTTTTTCAAAACAAACCAGATTGTCCTATAATTACTGACGAGTCAACCTTAATTGATGATATTCGTTGCTACAGCTGCACTCCTTATTTGATTTGTCTCTTCTTTTACCTACGCGTGGAAGCAACACACATTAAGTATTTACTTAGTGATACATAATATTGTAAAGAAATCTTTATGTATACATAAGTATGCCATATTTATTTAATTCATACTAAATCGTATATTTTTTAAGGATCCTATAATCCTCCTCAGTTAAACCATATTTCATTCCCAATTATCTTAATTATTTTCAGTATGCCTAGCATACCTATCTTTCTTTATATTTTTCTTTTATCTCCTTAGTCATTATTCTTATTTTCATTGAGAGCATCCATTCATACTTATAATGCACCATTTTGCATTTTCATTATTGGAATTCTTTCATGCCAATAATGCACCTATATGCATTTCAATTATGGTATCCTTTCATGTCGATAATACACCATATGCATTTTATTTATGGCATCCTTTCATGCCCTTTTATACGCTATTATACATTTCATTTATGGCATTCTTTCATGCCCTTCTATATGCTATTATACATTTCATTTATGGCGTCCTTTAATGCCAATAATGCACCCATATGCATTTTATTTATGGCATCCTTTCATGCCCTTTATAAGCTATTATATATTTCATTTATAGCATCCTTTCATGCCTTTTATACACTATTATACATTTAATTTATGGCATCCTTTCATGCCTTTCTATACGCTATTATACATTTCATTTATGGCATACTTTCATGCCTTTTATACAACGTTATATATTGCCACACATCTACTCTTTTACTCAAAGGCATTTAGCCTTTCATCTAATTGGTATAATTGACACCTTTCTGTAAAATACACAACTAGGCAATTAATCTTTTATTTTTGAAATGTTTTTACTCGAATAATTATTCATAATATCACTTAACTCTTTCAATTCATTATAAATTCTATAGTTTGCACACATATGCCGGTAATTCGTAAATTTA